CGGCTGCAGGAAGGGCGCGAGGCGGCTGAGCCCCGCCCCGGACCCCGCGACCCGCCTCCGCCCGCGCCCTCGACGGAGAGGCGCCCGGCCCGGCCCCACCGACGGCCCCGCTCGCTCCGCCGGGCGCGCGGCCAGTTTCCATGATGCGGACGCGGCCCGGGAGCCCCCGCCTGGGATTGATTAGCCCGCGGCCCGTGCTAATGAGAGCCGGCTGCGCGCGCGGCCCTTTCCCCTCTGGCCCCGGAGACCGGCATCCTCCTGCCGCAGAGCCTCCGGTTTCCTCTTCTCTCCAGGGCTGACGCCGGAGGCATCTGCCTGTGTTGACTCCCTGATCCGTCCCCACTCACTCGCCGGGCCTGTGTGTGGATCCCCTGCCTTCTGGGTGTCCCTCCCACAATGGAGACCATAAGCCCAGGGCACAGACTTCACTCTCAGCTGCCAGGGCCTCCTGATCGGTCCCTGAACCCAAACTTCCGCTGGCGAGGTCCACACTCACCATCAGAGCACACTCCTCAAGCCCCAACTCCCCTCTTCATCTAGAATCAGCCAGTTCTTTCCTGTAGCCGCTGTCCTCTTCAGCCCACTCTCCTAGAGTCCCCATAGTCTGGTCGCTGCCTGTCTCTGCTAACTGGTCTGCAAACGTCACAGAGCACCATTCCACTGTGAATCTGTCCCCTGCTGAAAACCCTCTATGGCTCCCTGGTGCTGTCCAAATGGTTTCAGAGCGGGTGTGGTTTGAGCATGCTCCTGACCTTCTCACCTGGCCCGTGTGGCTGAAGAGCTGCCGAGGTCCCCAGCTCCTCTGAGCTCTGGCCCCAAGGCTCAGCCAGTTCCTGGCTTTTTTTGTCAGGAAAACCTCTGCCTTTCCACCTCATGCTCCTCCAGAGTTCCCTCTATACACAGTTGAGCCGAGAGCGCTCTTGGGGATTGCCCTGTTTCCGGGGGTGGGAGGGCTGGCCAGCATTGAGGTCTGGGGGGAAGGGGGGGGGCCCTGGCCAGCATTGAGGTCTGAGGCCCAAGGCTGGTTCTGACTTGTTCTTTTCTGGAGCCTTGTGCTCTGGGGAATGTGTGTCCTAGCTGGCCCTCCACGCTAGAGAGATGCGTGAGGCCTGTGACTTCCTCCACTCCCCCTCCTGTTCTCCACCCTGGGCCCTGGGGGAAGAAGGAAAGAGAGAGGTGAGAGAGGAGAACATACCTAAGCTCTGTGGCTCAGTTTCCCCATCTTTATAAGAACAAATAACACCACAGTGTGTTCTCAGAGTTGAAATGACTGCACACATGTGGAACACCTGGTTCGAAGTGCTATCAGTCTGCCTGTCCTCTAACATTGCTTCAGGCATGGGCCTGAGCCGTGCTGTAACCCTGGCTCTGTTTCTCTCTGAGAGCTCAGAGAAAGTGTGGGAAGCAGGGACACAGGAAACCAGGAGGGGGAGACAGGCCTCCCTTCCCGCAGGCCTCCCCTGCAGAGAGACCTCCCAGTCTGGGGGTTGGGGGTGGGGGTTCATCCCGTCTATGCAGATGTGTGGCCGGCCACTGGCCTCTGGGCTGGGACAGTGATAATCCCCAAGCAGTCTGGACCTTACTCGGTTCTGCCCTGGCCTCTGTGTGACCTAGAAGCTTGCTTTTCCTTCTGAACTGGGAGGAACCTGGATGGATGGGGTAGAAGCCAGAAATGTGACACCAGCACCCTGAGGCCATCCTGGGGAAGGGTACATTGTGCCCCACCACACACACACAGAAAAAAACAGACAGGCAGGCACAGCCCTATCATACACAAGGCTTGGAATCCTCACCTCTCTTAGCCAAGACTGCATGTGCTGCCTGAGCCACCTCTAGAGGGGACAGCTGGTGGCAGTGTGGTCTGTACACCCTGTCCCTAGTGACTAACTTAGAGGTGCATCAGCTCAATCAGCTAAGACTTCAGAGTTGTCCAAAGGACAGAGTGTGGCTCTGCTCCACCCTAGGAGAATGGTAGGGCCTGACTGGGGGCAGTTTAGTGTGCCATGTTTCACAATGTGAACCCAGACTCCCAAACCCCCAAATCCAGACTCTATTTCCTGAAGGCTGAGTCCCAGGGAGGTGGGGTGACTTGCCCCAGGTGGCCCTGCCAGTACCTGGCAATATTGGGATTTAGCCTCTGAACTAGTCACACCAAGAGCTCAGGTCCTTAGAGGGTAGTGGATGTGGCCCGTCAAAACTGTGCCCACTCTGGAGGCTCTACTTTGGGTGATGTCCTTAGGCTACTGACAGGAAAATTAATGTGGACACTGTGGCTCTTTGGAGCTTAGAGAGGAGAAGGCAGAACTTGGTGATTCCAGAGCCACTGAGGGAACAAGGCCCTTGTGACAAGAGAACAGCCTCTGCAAGCCATGCTTGGGTGGAAGGTTCCTAGGCTCCTCTCCCTGGTCTCCCGGTTCTCTGAAGTGGGAAGTGCAGTCTGTGAAGTGGGCTTTCACCCATATCGGTGGGAAGCTTCTGTGGCAGCTGTATCCAGCCTTGCCCTGGTCACATTTATGCCTGCTCATGTACAAAATAAGAAGACGGTATTAACCACGGAAAGAGGTTGGGCCTTCCCATAGTCTGTCCCACCAAAAAGTGACACGCTGAGGCCATTCCTTTTCTTTAGCCATTTCTCTGAGCCCTAGCAGGTGCTCCCTTCCTGGGCTAACAGACCTGACCACTTAAAGGCCATAGAGGCAGCAGCTACCCTAGGGAAGCCCAGGCTAGTCCTTCTGAAGACTTGAGGCCTAGACCAGCCTTGCTCAGAAGTGTCCGGAAACCTCCGCTGCAGTCATTTTAGCTCCATCATTACCTAAAAGCTCCAACTAGGCCTTACCAGAGCAGACGTCTTCCACTGGTCCAGTCAACTGGAACAGGATGGGACAAGGCAGGAACTTCAAAGGAACAAGGGCTGGGAAGAGTCTCTCAAAACCCTGGGAGGGAGTGAAGGGTCCTACAAAGGACTTGAGCTGCTGATCTGCCAAAGGCTTGGAGCAGGGCTGCTGGCCAGAAACATGGTCTTCCTCTCCACAATAGGTGTGGCCCTGTGGCTGTCATCCTCA